TCATACGGAAACTCGTCTGTTACAAAGGGATTTCACTTTTTTGAACTTATTTGAACCCCCTTGTTTTTCTGTGTTCAAAATGCACCATTCAAAACCACATCATCCATTTACAACCCTTTCTGACTTCATTTGTTATTTTTTATGCATTTACTGATTATTTTGAGCTATAAGACCATGAAATTGAAAAGCATTTGAAATGAACTCTGAAAATGTTCCAAGTTGGCATGGTATCATCATTTCACCCACATAGCATGTGCAAGAAAGTAGAGAGGTTTGCGGCAAAAACTGGATGCACTTCATGTACAAAACGAACAATCTCTTTCGAAGTATCAGGGTTTCATACGGAAACTCGTCTGTTAGAAAGGGATTTCAATTTTTTGAACTTATTTGAACTCCCTTGTTTTTCTGTGTTCAAAATGCGCCATTCAAAGCTGTAAGACCATGAAGTTGAAAAGCATTTGAAATGAACTCTGAAACCAAAGTACATACATAGTTCTCCAGAACATTAAAACCAAAGTACATACATAGTTCTCATTGAACAATATATAGCTCTCTAGAGCATCTGATTAAACCATACATTGAAATTATGTAAAACATTTCAATGCAAAAATAAATGCGATCATAACCGCAACCAAGGTAAGAACTGATCCAACTGCATAATGATACCAAGCTTCGGTATGAATAGCATATCTTCTAATCTTTTTAATCTTCAACCACATTGAATCCATCTTGATCTTGTGATCATCGACGACATCCGCAACATGCAACTCCAATAGACGGGACGAGGGCCGACGGGGGCGGATACCAAAACCATCGCACTATATAATAACAAGGAATAATAAAAGTAAGAAAATTAGACAAGTATCTATCTGAAGTCAGAATTTTTTTCTTTCAAAAAGAATATAAGAACAAGAGGCTCACCACGGTGGTGCCGGCAAGGAGGTCGGCGCGGGCGATCGACGGCGGTGAAGACGGGGCGTGACGGACCGCTAAATCTAGACAATTCTCGTTGAAAATGGAGATCGGAGGTCGAGTTTCGAGAGGAGAAAGCTTAACTAGTGTGGCTCAGGCATTTTATCGAACACCTCATGTGCATAGGAGATGAACTAGAGCACCCAAATGGCCTCCCCTCGCCGGCTTGACAAAACAGAGCACTCTGGAGTGCTCTGCCGCGGCGGTGGGTATATGTAGACAAGTTATTTGTCCCGGTTCGTGGCATGAACTGGGACTAAAGCCACCCCTTCTGTCTCGTGTCAAGCCACGAACAGGGACCAATGGTTGTGGACCAGCAGCGAGGACCATTGGTCCCGGTTCGTGGCTCGAACCGGGACAAATGGTTCCACACGAACCGGGACCAATGCTCACGAGGCCCTGGCCGGCCCCCTGGGCTCACGAACCGGATCTAATACCCCCCATTGGTCCCGGTTCTTGAAGAACCGGGACTAATGGGCTGGCCAGGGCCGAACGGTTGCCCTGTTTTCTACTAGTGACTGGTAGGACGATTTAGTCACCGAGTAGAATTGCTTTAGATACCCCGGTGCTGTATCACACCAGCGTGAATCAATAATAAACCCTAGAATTGCTAACGAAGCTTTCCTATCTCACCGGAATTGCTACATCCCGTCGATCGGCTTGCTTAGTCGCGGTCACCGGAAACGAAAGTGCTCGGCGCGTGGGTTAGGCCAACAAGCATCAGGCCCAGCGGCGATGGCGCTCTCCGAACTCTCTCGCCAGTCGCTCCACCCCAGCTTCCTCTACTCCGCCGCCTCCTCCTTCACCGCCGCCTCCAGCCCCACCTCCCAGGCCCCTGTCGCGGCCCCTACTCCGGCCTTCGGCCATGGCACTGGCGGCGGCAGGCCGTTCTCGATCCAGTCCCCGAACGAGAAGATCAAGATGTATTCTCCGGCCTTCTACGCCGCCTGCAGCGTCGGAGGAATCGCCAGCTGTGGGCTCACCCACATGGCCGTCACCCCGCTCGACCTCGTCAAGTGCAATATGCAGGTCAACTCCTAGTTCTCTCTATGCCCTCCCTTTGTAACAGGTTTTTGCCTACATCTAACCGTCTTTGGACGGTTCGATGCATTGTGAATACGTGGGTTTGATTGAAGTAAGTATTTTGTACATACTCAGAGAAATACAAGAGCATCTCATCTGGTTTCGGTGTATTGCTAAAGGAGCAAGGAGCTAGGGGATTCTTCAGGGGATGGGGGCCTACCTTGCTGGGTTACAGCGCTCAGGGCGCTTGCAAGTTTGGGTTCTACGAGTTCTTCAAGAAGACCTACTCAGATATGGTTGGGCCTGAGAATGCCAGCAAGTACAAGACCCTAATTTACCTTGCAGGGTCTGCTTCTGCTGAGCTGATTGCGGATGTGGCTCTCTGCCCCATGGAGGCTGTCAAGGTACGTGTGCAGACACAGCCTGGATTTGCTCGTGGGCTTACTGATGGGCTCCCCAAGTTCATCAAAGCTCAGGGTGCTGCTGGGTAAGTAAATTTACAAATTGTCTGAAGAGCTTCATGATTTTCTACGGTTTCCCTGATTATATCCCTAAAACTTCTACACTGGTTGTTCATGGCAGGCTCTACAAGGGAATTGTTCCTCTCTGGGGTCGCCAGATTCCTTGTAAGTGCTTCTCTTGCCATTATGTTACATTATATATCCTCTGAATATTGATCCTCGCTCCTATGATTGTTGCAAAATTGTGGCCTGCTTTTGGAACCAATTGGTCTAATGTTGGTCCTGCCTTCGTCATAAACTTGCTCCTTTGATCTCCTCTAACTATCTATATACTATTATATATGATGTACTCATCCACTGAATACTTCCATACTTTTTTTTTCAGATACCATGATGAAGTTTGCGTCCTTTGAGACCATTGTTGAACAAATCTACAAGCATGCTGTTCCCGTTCCAAAGTCTGAGTGCAGCAAGCCTTTCCAATTGGGTGTCAGCTTTGCTGGTGGATACATCGCTGGTGTCTTGTGTGCTGTTGTTTCTCACCCAGCTGACAACCTCGTCTCTTTTTTGAACAATGCCAAGGGTGCTACAATTGGTGATGTAAGCATGTTCTATCCCCATCTTGAGAGTTTTGCCCTCTTACTTAATTTCTGGATTATTCATTGACTTCGTGTTATTATATATAATATTTGCAGGCTGTTAAACGGATTGGTGTTACGGGCCTTTTCACCAGAGGTCTTCCCCTGCGAATTGTCATGATCGGTACCCTTACCGGTGCTCAGTGGGGAATTTATGACGCCTTCAAGGTCATGGTTGGGCTGTAAGTATCTCATCCTCTATGTTAAATTTATCATTATGGTATAGTGGTAAACAGCTTTTCCAGGAATTAACAATTGGTATTCCCATTTTTCTCCAGTCCAACAACAGGTGGTGTTGCACCAGTTCCTGCAGCATCAGAAGAAGCTAAAGTCATCGCTTGATTTTTTCTGCTACGATGATGACAATGTATTCCCGGATGTAACTATATCAATTACCCGAGTTTCTAATGTTTTGTTCTTGTAGTTGTGGCAGATGTTTATATGTCTCACCGTTTTGATGAGAGGAACTCAGTAGGCATGTGAAGTAGGTCTTTTTTCCCCCGGGAAGTATATTGTTTAAGTATAGGACAGCAATGCTGTTTGAGCACCGGTTTATTGTTTGTCTCATACTTATGTTATTGATCTTGAATTTGATTGATATAAATTTCCTTGGTTCTATGGCGCATACTTGTCAGTATTTTCTTCTTCCATGCTGAAATACTTTGTAGCGTTGATTTAGTCTCGAGGTTCCTCTGTTTTTTCACGATTTAGGATCTGATCCTGACATCAAGTGATATTTGATTTTTCATGCTTACTTAGGCCATCTTCAAGGAGAACCCGATCAGGCCCACATCGGTTCCGATTAAGGTTTGGACGTAAAACATGCTACAAATATAGGGAGAGGAGAGGGTGGACGGTGAGCTGTGTGGGATGAGGAGAGGAGCATGCACCGTTTTAAAACCGGCCGGAGGGGCGGAGGTGTGGTAGCCAATTACATCGAGCGCCGGTTCCCCTCGCGTGCATTAACGCCAACCGTACCGTCGTTTTATGCCCACCTGGGGAGCCTCTGCGGTCTGCGCCACTAAAAAAGTTGTCCGGTCGTTTGTCACCCACAATAAATCACGCTGGTCGTTGAGCCGCTGACGGGACGGGCATGTCGGTCAGGATCCGACGTGACG